TCCCTACAACAAATCAATTTTCACCATCAAATCATGTAGATGCAAATTCAAAAAATAATCATTATGAAATTAATGATTTTCATTAATAACAAAAAGGTTTCCATACCTAATTATATACAGCGCAGCACATCATGCATATAAAGTGCATGTTAACTAAACTTTTAATTCGGGGGAGAAGGAATCGGATTCTGCATATCTAGTTCCCTGGTTAAAAAGATTTTACGAAGATATATGAATATAAAAATATATCCCTGGAAATTGAATTGGCATTGGCATGTTGGAATTAGGCACTTGATTGAGAGACAATAAAAGCTCAATTTATGAATTCATGGGTTGGTTTGTCAACGTGGAAGAAAGCGTCAACAAATCATGATTCCCTTTTAATCATTTTAGAATTATGGAATATATGCGCAACATGCCGTTGAAGAATTGCAAATTATATTGGTCCTTCACTTTTTCGGGTGTTCCTAATCTAATCCTCAAGTGGGGCCACATCACAAAATCTCTCAGCGGTGACAAATTAATAGACTCTTGGTCACAGTCAAAATACTCCAAGATAAGAATAATACCAATTCCATAAATCAATAAATCATTAGTTTTAATTAGTGATATTGAATCGATTTTCTTATGTTAAGCTTCGAATTCAAATCTTTTGAATAAAAAAATATCATTAAAAATATGGGTTAGGTTTTTAATAGAAATTAATTTGGAACTAATAATAATATATAAAAGGAAATGAAGTTGAAAAGCATGAGTGTACTAAGTGTGGTGGCATGAGAGGAGAAAAGAAATGAATGGCCCAACTCATTCCAATAGATGAGGTGGGAGAGCCATGTGGGGAAGGAGGTGGGTCACCAACCTCACAGATTCTTCCCCTTATTTTAAGAGTAATATTTTTATTCTAGTGCTTCTAGAAGCAACAAAAAACTAAGGTAGGAAGGTGAGGCTTACCAACCATGTCCATAAAAAATTAAAATTTGACATGGCCGGCTCAAAATGGCATAACTGTGTTGGATGGAAAAGGAGGTTGGTTGAACTTTGAAAATGACTAATATTTCTCAAGATACCCATCATTAGCAATATTATAACTAAATAAAAAGATCAAGTAATCTTGTGACCTCATACTACCACACCCATATGTATCATCTTGTTTTCACGGAACTTTAACTCACAACACACTCCACCACACATGAACGAGATATGCTAATGGGACCACTTCAAGGAAAATCAATTTTATTTCTTGCACTATAGCTAACACTCTATACTTACATATGTGTATTTACCTTTAATTAACATTAACAAAAATAACGTAAATTTTATTAAATCCTATCTAATTACTCAAAGTTCTTTTTTAAGTATCACTAGGACTTTTAACTCTCTCCTACTAATTGACCCATTTAGAAATAAAATGGTACTTTTAGTGTCGATTTTATTTTTGAGTTAAAGATTAAATCCTAATCTTTAAATAAACAATCCAAGTGTCAAACTTCTTATACTAATAACATCGGTCAAAGTATATTAATCTTATATATATTTTGTTGTAAAGAAATGAAAAATTATAGAAAGAAAAGATGATCATGTTGTCTGGATAGGAAATTAGAACTTTTTATTTGTCTTATTATAGGTATTCCCTGACCTATTGAATCAGAGACTAATCTCGTTTGTGGTATTAATATTATTGTTGATTTAAAAGATTTTCACTCACAACAAGGATCAAACACAAGATTCTTCACTAAATTAATCATTCCCATAACATAGAGTGTCTAACCACTAATCTGGTCAATCAATAGTAATAAAGTAAGTTTTATTAACTAAGTCTTATATGATGATATAAAGCATATTGTTTTTTCCTACTCTAATTAAGAGCTTTAATTTTCTCCGCTCAATCAATTCATTTTAGAGATAAAGTGATATATTCATATGCAATTTTATTTCTAAATTGAGAACTAAATTTTAATCTTTAATTAGGAAACAAAAGTACGGAACTAATTTGATTAAAATCATGAATCAAATCATATTAATTTTGAATATATTTTAGAGGAAAAAAGAAAAGACCGAGTTGTTGTTTGGGTAGGAAATTAGAAGTTAATGAACCAAATTGTTAAGCATAGGAGAAGTTTAGTATTTTACTGTTTATATTTAATAGAATTGGTTAGTGGGTGAAAGAAAGGGATACTATTGATGAGCACTAGTGATCTCAATTCTCAACCATGGATGGTAGGAGACGTTAGTAATTAACTCACATCGAACTTGAATTGACAAGAGTAAGTGGAGTCAGTTGAGAGTAGAGACATGCTTCTAGAATCCTTTATGAGAAAATAATAAAAACAAGTAGTTAGAAAACAGTGGAAGGGCATAAACTATAAAAACTTGGGGGAAACAAATAAGAGTGGGTTTTGGTTTTGGTTTTGGTTTTGTACTGAACAAAAAGTTTGGTGTGCATTGCGTGATTTTAAACTTCTCAAAATGCTTTTGCTGTGGTAGGTCTTCATAGCCTTTATTTTGTCGTTTCGTATCATTTATTATTTTATTGTTTCTTTTAACTGCGGCTTCGTTTATTACCACTTAGTCCTTCCATTTTCCATATTTTATTTTATGTGCGATCTTTCGGGATGAGGTCAAGTTCAAAATTATTTCCCGATTATTGCTGCTTTAACAGATTAATTAACGATAGTCAAACACTAAAAAAACAATTTAGCAAACACAGGAAATTTGAGTTTTTCTATTTTAAATTATAACAAACTAATTGTTGAGCACCAGTGTAATACACACATACACATGTCTCCTCATTGATAAGATATTGTCTACTTTGGATATAATCTTCATAGTTTTGTTTTTAGATACTACCCAAAAAATCTTTCTACTAATGGAGACAATTATGTGTATATAAACCCATATATATCCTCTTGTTTGAATGATGTAAAACTTTGTTTGCATCCCAATACTAATTTTAACACGTGCATTAATATATACTATTCATTTTGTATAACTAAAGTTTTTATATTTCTTAATGGAGACAACTTTTTAGATTTAATAAAAATATCAAATTAAATTTTAAGAAAACATATTATAAAAAAAAAAGGCAAAGAATTTTATGCCAAACACAACAAAAAAAAGCTTGTTGGATTTATTCCTGTCCCTGATTCCTTTCTACTGTAATATAGCTCTTGTTCTTCGTTTTAGTTCTTCCTTAGTTGGGAAATTATGGTGTTTAATTGATATTTTATTATCTCGTCGTGAAAACTTTCAGCAAGCCATTGTTCTCATGTTTGCAAGTCATTGATTATATAAAAGTTTGATGATTAAGTTCCAAAAAAATATATATATAAAACTCTTAATAATTCATGTATAATTATATTTAGTTTTAAAAAAATACACAATTTTAATCTATACGTTAATTTATGCTACTAGAACTCGTGATTCTTAATTACTTTTAATTTACTACTTTAATCACTAAATTATTTACCTTATTTAATTTATGATAAGTATTATATTATATATAATATTACTGTATAAGATAATTATATTTTTAAAATACCTTTATTATATGTCACCTTTTTATTTTGGTCCTAATATTTTTTTTAAAATGGTGCTTTTAAAAGTTCTCTTCGATATTCTAATATACTTATTTAGCTTAAATATGTTTTTAGTCCCTTAAATTTAAAATAAATTTATTTTTGATCTTTCAAATTTAAATAGTTATTTTTAGTCCCTATAATTTTTAAAAATCATGTTTTAGTCTCTCAGATCACCAATCATATATCTAAAAGTGACAAATTAAAACGATCGTTCAATATCAATTGGATTTAATGTAATGTTTTCACTAACAGAGATATCAATAGGCAGATTTTATGCAATAATATTTAATAAATTTCTTAACAAAATTTGAATATAAGGATTAAAATAATTTTTTTTGAAATTATAGAGATTCAAAATAATAATTTTAAATTTGAGGAACAAAAACAAATTTATCCTAAATTTAAAAGATTAAAAATATATTTAAGCCTCCTTATTTATTCATATTTGTTTTTAGAATATGTAAATAATTTGCTTTGAATCTTTATATCTTTTTTTTCAAAGAGACCAAATCAAAATGAATAGGATATATATTATAGCAACCAAAACGGAAAAGTAAATATATTAAAAGGTCTAAAACAAAAATAACAAAGACTGGAATCATTTTAGAAATAATAATTTTACAAAGATTGAAGACAAATATATATTACAAGAACAAAAGGAAAATTTAAATTTGTAAATATTATTGTTTTAAATGATTTTGTCTTTAATTAAAAAAAAGTGTGTCATGTATAAAATAAAAAAATAAGGTATGTGATTTCTGAAGCGCACAAACGCATAATCAAGTCTCTCATCATCGCTTTTTTTTTGGGGAAATAACGAGTGTAATTGAGTTAGAGATAAAATATTCTTTAGACCAAACACTACCTAAATGAAAAGCCAAAAATTGTTTTTCGTTGACTTCCACGGAACATCACCTAAATCTACATGATCCAAAACTAAAATTCTTTTCCGTTGATTGGTGAACAATAAAAACAACTTGATATATATGTATGCAGGACTCTTGTGATGTGTATATTAGGTATTTAATTAATTACTAATTTTTCCGATAAACATTTGATCACTCTGTCTTCTGCACCGGAAATGCTGATGTTGATTGTTGCATATGTGGGGCATTTTCTCCTTAAATCGTGGTAATTGTAACTTGCAAGTAACCTAATTAGGAAATATTGGAATAAGAAAACTTGGTATTTCTACGTACACAGCTTCTGATCACGATAGCTGCCTGCTTAATAACATTACTTCAAAAGAGACTATTGAATGCTAATCACTATCTACGCTTTTCATTTTTTAAATTAATAATTACATACTAGTGACATAATTAAATATCGTATATACATAATCAAATATTATATGCCATATTCAAATATGACTATGTGAATTACACTGTGATATTCGAATAATCATATGTGATATTTGAATATGACTATGCAAATTACACTATAACATAGTTAAAGCCTAAAATGCAACTCTTGTGAATAAGAAAGAGAAGTGAGAATGGGTATTTTTGTCAACCTAAATTTTAAGCATTACTTCTCCCACAAATCCTGCCTCTTTATAGGGATAATTTTTGAGGGAAGCCCACACTCTAAATGATCATCATAACTGTACAGTATTTCACACTACCAATCATGCGTATTTATTTTAATTCCTTGTACTTCTTTTCCTCCACCTAAAATCTGGACTATTTCCCATGCATCCAATGCAATGTAAAAGTAGAATTTTAATTAAATAAAAATATTTTTAAAACAATATTATGAAATAATATATAAAAAATTAAGATTTGCATATTCACTTAAATTTTAGTCCAAAGAAAGTTACCATATATATATATAATTTGTAGTGATTTGCGGCGAAAGGAAAATAATAAAATAATATAAAATAAGGACATTCTTTTTTGTTTTTTCTTACGAGATTACATGTACTTTTTACTATAAAATTTTATTTGTATCGAATATAACCGATGTGGCACGACATGTGGCTCACCACGTGTCAGTCATTTTAGCACCCGAAACGGCTGAGACAATGTATGGCGATCGGTCACAATTGTCTTGGATATATCGGTCATCGATATGGCCAAAATTACAAGATCTATGCATCCAAGATCCTCGGCCTCAACCATGCTAGCAGCCGAAACAGATTGATTCCAATTGATGAGAGTGAATTGGTCCGACTAATAGTCGAGACCCAAAAGCTCACTAACCCCAATTGATGGGAATGTATTGGCCTGGCTAGTGGCCAAGGCACAAAAGTACAATCTCGTTCGATACACATGCCCAGGTTCATCGGATGACTCACACCTCTCGACCTGGTCAATGGTTGAGAGGGCCAATACCATACTTGGAACAATAATTATGATCAACAAGGACTGACACGAGATTAAGGAGGTAATCAGTCATTAAACATTGTATTATCTAATTTGGCAAAACACAGAGGAGGCCCACCACACATAGGACCCATTTATGTTAATATAAATAATCTACATCTTGAGGTAAAGTCACTGTTTATTTATTACTATCGATATTTGTGTTTGTCTAGACTTGAGCGTCAGAGTGCCTTTTGCAAGTACCTCCCCCACCGGAATATTCGATCGAAGCTCTTATTCGACCTTCAGACTACGTGAAGATTACTAGTGTGCCCTTAGACAATTACAATATAATTTTTATTATTAAATAAAATTCATTATTATTCCTTTCATCTTATTTTTAAAAATTAAGTTAATTTAGTTAGAAACATTAAACTTATATATTTTCCTTTCGAAAATTTTCTAACTTTAGATATTCTTATTTTTTATCAAATATTTTGATTGACTTTATTACTTCAATTGGAATGCATTCCATCTACCAGTTATTAAACTGAGAGAGAGATTAGTTGTAAATAAGAGAGTTACACACAAAAAAAATAGGTATTGGTCGTAATTTTAAAAGTTGTAATAAATTAGAATTAATGAAATAAAAAAAATATACTCTATTCCCTTAAAGTATTTAATGCGATAAGATGTAGAAGTAGAAGATTTAAAGCGAGGAGAAATGAAGTTAGGAGAATTGAGACGTAGAGTGTATGTAAATATGAAAGAAAGAAAGAAAAGAAAAGGTAGGGGAGTAAGGGGAGTTATAGTGTAGGAAGTAGGAAGAGGAAGTGAGAAGAGGCGAAAGTGGGAATAGATGAAGGAAAAGGGGTAAAGATGGAAATAAGAAAAGAAGAGGGACATGAAAAGCAGAGCTACCTACCAAATCCAGCACTAACTTAATTGTAACCACTCGTCTTTCTCACCAACTCGGTCAAATACTCTCTCTCTCGCATTACTCCTCTCAGAAAAAGAAGGTCCCCGAGTCAATTGCACCTCCTCTTGTTCTCCACCACCTCCCATTTATATTCCCTTTTCCCACCAATTACTTTTCCCACACCACTCTCTCTCTCTCTCTCTCTCTCTCTCTTCACCCTCACCACTCACCAACCATGGGTAGATCCCCCTGTTGCGAGAAGGAACACACCAACAAAGGAGCTTGGACCAAGGAAGAAGACCAACGCCTCATCAACTACATCAAACTCCACGGCGAAGGTTGTTGGAGATCCCTCCCCAAAGCTGCTGGTAATAATGCAACCAATCTTAATCATTTATTCATATATTCATATATTCATATATTCTTATATTCTTATATTCTATTCTCCTTGATCAGGCTTGCTCAGATGCGGCAAGAGTTGCAGACTCAGATGGATTAATTACCTCAGACCTGATCTCAAGAGAGGCAACTTCACTGAAGACGAAGATGAACTCATCATAAACCTCCACAGCTTACTCGGAAACAAGTATCTCTCCTATTATATCTTTATTTTTACTCTCCATTTTATACATAACATATACCTTTTTTTCATCTTCCTAAAAATCTTTCTTTTTTTTCTCAGATGGTCTCTCATAGCTGCAAGGTTGCCTGGGAGAACCGATAACGAAATCAAAAACTATTGGAACACTCACATCAAGAGAAAACTCTATAGCCGTGGAATCGACCCACAAACCCATCGCCCACTTAACGCTTCAGCATCTCCGGCAGCCACCGCCGCCGTTGTTCCGGTGGTAACGGTCACCTCAAGCAACAACAAAAACGACCAAGACAGCAGCAGCAGCAACAACAACAACAACAATAACAACGGTTTTCAGTTGGTGAGTAGCGGTTACGTTAACGCAAAGATTGGAAGCGATTTGGTTGGGGAAGATTCGAATAGTAGCAGCGGGGTTACCACGGAAGAAGCCTTGCCTCATCATCAACTCAACTTGGACCTTTCCATTGGGCTTCCCTCTCAACCCCACGTGAACACGGAAAAGTTGAAACAACAAATGCAAACACAACCACATGAGCATGATCAAAAGCCGCATGTTTTGTACCAGTGGTATGGGAACATTACTGGCCAAGGTGTGTGCCTGTGTTACAGTCTAGGGCTACAAAGCAACCAAGCTTGTTATTGCAAAGCCATGGGTGCTGCTGCTGCTGCTGCTGCTGTTACTGCTGCTACCACTACCACTGCGGTTACTACAACTGCCACCGAGGATAATCTATATAGACTTTACAGACCCATGAATATTTAGAGCTTCTAATATGTCATCTTATTGTGACTTAATTTGCTTTCTTAATTAACATCATCATCATGGATATAGTTGTAGAATCCCAAAATTTTGAGAAAATTTTGTCTCCAATTTTTTTGTTTCTTTTCATTTTGCTCTTATAGCCTTTTTATTTATTATGATGTTGAGTTTAATTTTTAAATTAACATCAAGTAAATACAATTTTCTTCCCTTAACTTTTCTATTGGAGATTTGGTTGAATGTGAATTAACGCCTCGTGAAAACTGGGTATTATAATTGTGCTTTTCTTTGCCCACACTCTAATAAATGTTTAATAACATCAAAGTTAAAATTAATGTTGTTTCAATTCTTCTAATTTTAGAAAGTTTGTTAATATGTATAGAGAAAAAAATAAACAATCTATGCCCGAACAAATTAAAGGAATTTTATATTCATTTCGTCATCCAATAACAAATTAATATGTATTGAGAGTTTTTTTTTTAATAAATTTCTTAAAATTATATTAAGGATGATTTTTAATCGGTTGATAACAAATTTATATATAAATGCATAAAAATTAAATTTGTACATATATATAAGGGAAAAAAATATAGACAACATTAAAATTTCTTCCGCACAATATTTCAAAAATTGTTTTCATAAAATAATATTAAACCTGAAAATATCAGGTCGATTCTTTATATCTTAAAACAGATTTTATAATAATGATTGAAGAAGAAAATTGATTTATTTGTAATACTAAGTTGTACTATGATGAATCTCAACTAATTATTGAGCTACATATGAATTATAACATTCAAATGGCCTATTTAAGTTATCTTAATTAATAGTAGCATCTAACAATGTGTAATATGATGAAGTGCTCTCTTCACTTGGATTGGGTAATCCGTGATTCATCTGTGAGTGAGAAAGAGGCACTTGATCGTAGCTAGTTATTGGGCAAATTTTGAATATTCCTGGCGTCCTGGGTGGGTCAGTAATGAGTTGTTAGACATTAACTATGTTTGGTATGTTACAGTATATAAGTTTGAGATATGATCTAATAAACTGATGAGTGGCAGGGACAGTGGTGAAGAGATAGAGCGAAAAAGCCAAACCAAACCCAATTCATTCATTCATGTTATAGCTAGCGTTTAGGTAGGAGACAGCTTTTGAATGCATACCTACCATTTACTGTCACCAGAACAAGACAATTATGGGAAAACTGGACTATGCTTCACAAAGTTACTTTCACATTGATTGATACATATACAATGCAACAAGGTGATTTGTTGAAGCCCAGTACTTTACTATTTATGTGAGTAGCTGGCATATATGGCCACCTTCTCTATTCCCCTTATTGCTGTACGCGATGTTTATTTTTGTATTTACGTACGTACTGTAAACTAATACTACAAATAGCGTTAACTTGCATTCAAATTCAATAATGTTGCGGACACCAGTTATTAATTTCAACATTCTTTTTTCCTTATATATAAAATAAGACCTATCTTAGCATTTCAAAAATTATCCGCTCAATTAATTACTGCTTAAACTGAGTTTAAAACTAAAGGTTATACGTACGTATGGGGTATGCTTTGGCCAAAAATATATGTGCAAATAAGATTAGACTGAATTATCACTATTTTTTCTAATATTAGTTAACTTCTTTACAAACATTTGAAGACAATTCTCACAGCATAAACCAACTAGATAATACGACCAAGTTAAACCAAAGTTCATATTTTAATCTTAAGTGAGTTGGAAATTTCATTGAATAATGATAGTATAAGTAGTATGATCAAATTCAAAAAGTGGTGTATATAATTCTCACCTTACAACTAATTGTGAGGGATTTCCAACACATGTTTCACTAATGTTTTTAGCCACTTAATGTTTTCTCTTTTTTTTTTTAAGTTCTAATTATAATTTGTCTTTATTAGAAAAAAAATATTTATGTAGTTATTGTCATTTTTGTAAGACCTTTGTTTTTTTTTTAAAAAAATTTGTCTCATTATATTTGATGTACTAATTAAAATGTATTGTGGTGAACACACTGCACACCTTTGTATTCATATAGAGGGGAAAAATGTTAGTGACACATTTTTTAAATATATTTTCCTATTATATGTGTAGTCTTGAATCTTATTTAATGATTTTTCTTTATTATTTTTCAGGAAAGGAGATTATAAATACAGTATGTAATTGGGATCATAATGGGAAACGGAATCTCTCAACTAGGATTTTTACTTTGATTCTCTCGGATGAAAAATTTCACCTTTTTTTTATGGGGTCATATTGTGAGGAAATTAAAACCCGGTAAGAATGCGTAATATTACCGAATTTGGATTGAAATGTAAATTTCCTTAAAAAGTATTGATATACAAATCAAAGATTTTTGGTCTTTGACACTAAGGAATTTTTTGAAAAAATCCGTATATATTTAGAAGATGAACGTTACTTGTGACTCATTTCGAACTATATATAATTTTAAGCAGTTACTTGTGTTCATGACCCGGCTGTATTTGTTACTAAGTAATCAAAATTTGAGGATTTGGTTTCATTTTTCCGTAACAGAAGAAAATATTTGTAGGTAGACTTGGAAAACAACCAGTCTAATTAATGTTGCAATAATGTTACTAGACAGAACTTGAACGATGCTCAATTTATAAATGTGGTCAACGTATGAATGTTCGACCGAAACAAAATCAAAGTTGAAGTCCTCCTACTTAGCTAATTGATTTTAAAAAAAAAAAACTTTAAAAAACTAGCCAACGAAAAAATACAGAGTTCTTTAATATAAATTAGGTTTTGAAGTTTCCTGTCTTCTAGAAACGAAATTATTATAGATTATAGATGCAGGATATTAATCCAAATTTGATCATTCAACAACGCAAGTAACATATACAAAAGAGGTGAGTAGTTAAAGAAAGAAGACTCGAATTAAATTTCCCACAAATAATTATTCAGCAGTTTTTTTGTTTTTCTTATTTGAAAGGGAATTACTAAACAAACACGGTACAATGAGAAACAGTTGATATCACAAATTAAAGTCGATGGATGCATCGCACTTATCGTGAAAAACAAGGTTAGACTTTTAACATTTTTTAATGAAAAATTATAGTTAGACTATGCCGCGGCTATTTGATTATAATTAGCAATGATATTCTAATTAATGACATTGCATAATATTAATGAATGTATTGGATTGAAATTTTGGACCGATATTGAATTCAAATAACCTACAACGCTACTACGCTAGTTGCGAGGGACGTGGCCCACGGCACGTGGAGTACTTTCTGAGAAGGAAAAGGAAAAAAAATCACATTGTTTGAGGTGTATATATACTTGCAGAGAAGAAAGATGATAAGATATTAAAATGTTAATAAATGCAGTACATAACGTGATGAAAAAAAATGAAAAAATATATTGAAAGTTGAAAGAGAAAATAAAAATGAAGGTGAATATTATTTTTATAAATGGAATAATAAAAAAAGTGTAGAGAATAGAGATAGATAGGGAGGACGGTGTTTGGTGGAGAGTGGGGCCCACAGCACAAAGGTAGGAACAGAAGAGGAACCGAACATTGAGCGGTTTGAGTAGGTAGATGTTGGTGACGTCAGCTTCGATACCTACCCTTTTGTCTTTCTCATGAATTCTCCTCCACTTCTTTTTCTTTTTAAATCTCACATGCTAAATATTTATCATATATAATTATATAATAAAATTATACATGTCAATAAATATTATATTTAACTATATGAGTTGTATTTAAACTTTTCTAAATTGATATTTTCAAATATATAAATTATATTTTTAATTTAAAATAAATAATTGATATTGCGATATAAAATTATTTTTATTTATTGATAATTTATTTAAAAAATATTAAAATTTTAATTCATAAATAAACATGATAAATAAAAAAGTGAATTAGATAAGAAGTTAAAATAATATCTATAAATGTTTCCGTTGAAGAATGGTTCTAATTTTTAAAAATCTTTCCGTCAAAAAATAACTCTTAAATTATGTTGATATATTTTTGGATTAGTTTATTTTGAATTTTAAATTAAAAAATAAGTATGCACCTATGTTATAAAATAATTCTAGTACTTTATCTTCTATGAAAATAATGCACGCAACTCAAATAATTATACTATATATTATCATTTCGAATTTATTTAGATAATTTTTCATAAATGCTTTAAAAAGAAGAAAAACTAATTTTTAATAAATTAAAATTAATTTTTTAGACAAATTAATATTAAAAACTTTTATGGATTAAATTATGTATAAAGTAATTTTAACTTATAAAAATTTTATTTTATTTTTTCTTGTTCACTTTTATCTCATATAAAATGTTTATGAAAAAATCTTATTCAAAAAAACTCCATGGTGATAAATTATGACATATGCATGATGATTTGTTGTTTTTACATAATTATCTTAAAAATAATATTACCGATAATTTTTAATTAATTGGCTATAAAAATGTATGGTCATTTAATGTACATAACTACTTTTAAGTATGTGATTTATTTCTGTTGTAAAAAAAAAGTATCTGATTTATTTCTTAAAGTAATTAACTCAAAAGTGTTTTTTATTATATTATTAGTATCAAATATTTATTAATTTTATTAATAATCAATTATTATAAAGAAAATTGATTGATCATTGTTAATATCATTCTTATTTTGACAAAAAAATTTATTTATAGTATTTCAAAAATATCTTTTAATTTTATAAAAAAAATAATCTCTTTCAAAACTTTCACTACATTAAAATTATTCTTTTCAGTGTCATATTTTTATCAAATCTCACTTGAAATCACAAGATTTGAAGATGGCATGTAAAATAAAAAGGGTTGAAGATGAATCACGTATCAGTCTTATTTAATAAACTCTATTCATCATAATTTATTAATAATAACATGAGGGTCTTACTCTGATTTGTTGGTAACCAAACACATGTTTAGGATTCTATTGTCCATCTGAATATTTTAAGGAAGGATTATTTTAATATGTGAAATTGTGGGAGAGGAACAGTCAAAGCATAGGTAGCTAGCGACAGCATTATTAAAAGTAAAATTGAATTTAAAGTGTATAAAATATAGTTAATGAATGATATATAATTAATGATAGAGGGATGCCACGTCAGTAATTGGTGTTCTGGAAGGTTTGGGTAAAAAAAGAAAAGTCGCACGTTGCTTCTCGCTTGCTGGTACCTAATTCTTTCG